CTTAACAGGAGGGCAAACACAAGAAGGAGGAGGGTGTGCTTGTAGGAGAGAGGGACGACACACTTCCTCCAGACTACAGGTTTAATAGGGAAGCGCTGGAAAAGCTGCCTGCTCCAAAACCTGAGGTGAGACTGACCTAAATTCAGTTTAAGGGTTATACTGTCGGATGTTGGTCATGTGGTGTCCAGGGATGTACAATCAGGAAATGAAAACATCAATAACTTTAACATATTGATTGATCTTTCTGCCTGCAGCCCACCATCGGTACCGGAGAGGCTCTGGACTTTCTGTCTGACGCCTTGACGACCCCCTTAGCAACTTCTGTTGTCGATGCTCCTGTTGTTCTCCCAACAATTCCTCCTTGTGAGGTACTTTGTATATCTGTCCTGAGTTCCTGCACATATTAACACATCAGACCCAGATAATAACACATTGTGGTTTTATGAGGGAGTTATGCCTTTGCACAAAGCTCGGCTATCTGTTTCCACCATTTGCTCTAAGCACACTATCTCTTAGCTTCTTATTGTGTCCAGACATTAGTGTGGTGAAACCATTCTTTGATGACTTTGTTTAATTCAGGATGTTCTGATATTTCAAAATCCCGTATTATGATATAAAACTCTGCTGTCATTAAAAACTTTTGCCTCTATTTTCCAGGTCACAGTAGAAGACGTGTCAGCGATGAGTGTGCCTTCTGGCAATGTTATATCTTCATCTACAGCTTCTGGAGTTCACGCTCCTGCTCCTCCTTCAACACGGAGGACACCAGCGGTAAAGCTCTGTGTGTGTGTGTGTGTGTGTGTGTGTGTGTGTGTGTGTGTGTGTGTTTGCATATTCGTGAAGTATTTTATTGTATAAGGTGTGTTTCCTCCCACGTTAATAGAAGAAATAGCAGTAAATTCATCTTTGTTTATAGCTGTGTGCCTGTTTTTCATTCGCTCCAGTCATGTCTCTCTTTAGTCTTCATGTCTGAAGTATGTCTCTGTTTCTGCAGAAACCTGATGCTGCCCCTGTAAAACCAAAAGACACAAAACCCAAGACTGACAAGGTAGCGGTTCCAAAATACCTTATCTTTATGGTACGATGTTATTGTTTAACAATAACATTTCAAACTTTGTATTTTGCCTTTCATATTCTTCCTACCTACTTCTAAAAATTGGCCTAAAAACAAGGTACACATCTGTGGAAGAGAAAATAATCATTTCATGTTGAGAGTTACAGATTTTCTAGAGTGCATTCTTTTCTGCCACTTTATTAGGCCTCTCTAGACACCGCTCTGGACGCCTTGGCAGGAGACTTCATCCCGTCCACTGCTGCCTCAGCAGTGAGTTCTGCACCTTGTGAACCTGACCTTCAGGTAAAACTCAACTCCAGCCTTTATCCAACAACTTAGACTCTCTATAATCCTGCAGTTACATCTGAATCTTTGTGTATTTGTGCACTCAGCTGCCAGCAGCAGCAGACAACGCCCTGGACGCTCTGTCGGACACCTTGGCGGATATCAAACCTGCCCCTCAACCCGTCCCAGTTCTTACCAAGGACGTTGTCAAGGTAGCCAGCGTGCTTTCAATGGATGATGTTAAAAAATATCTGCAGTTGTAGTGTCTGAATGTGACTTTCACTGTCTTGCATGGTGGTTGCAGGAGAAAAAAATTCTTGAAGAGAGACTGATTAAGATGGGGGAGAGAGATGACACACTGCCACCAGAGTTTCGACCCACTGAGGAAGACCTCAAGGTAAACTGACAGCTACTGAAAACGGGCGGGAAACGCAGAGAACTCAAGTACAAGTTTGCACTTCTACTTCCCTACATTTCAGAGGGAAAATGGTTAACTGCAAACTATAGGCTCTAAACATGCAAAGAGGTGTTGTCCTTCACGCTAGCTGGGTCATCAGCTGTACTATGGCAACAGCAAAACACAACGGAAATCAAATGCAGTTTGTGCACAGCCTCATTAAGAAGAGAAGTAATTAGACAACATCTATTAAAAAC